GTTCAGCCTGGAGAAGAGAAGACTGAGAGGCGATCTGATCAACATGTATAAGTATCTGAAGGGGGGGTATCGAGAGGATGAGGCCAGTCTCTTCTCCGTGGTGCCCAGTGACAGGACCAGAGGCAATGGGTACAAACTGAACCACAGGAAGTTCCATCTGAGCCTGAGGAGAAACTTCTTTCCTGTGAGGGTGACAGAGCACTGGCACAGGTTGCCCCAAGGGGTAGTGGAGTCTCCTTCCCTGGAGATATTCAAAACCCATCTGGATGTGACCCTGGGAAGTATGCTCTAGAGGACCCTGCTTGAGCAGGGAGGTTGGACTAGATGATCTCCAGAGGTCCCTTCCAACCTCAACTGTTCTGTGATTCTGGGAGTTCCCCTGCCCCAGTGCATCTGTTTCTGTCTGCACAAGAGGTGTAATGTTAGCTCTGGGTGAGAGCTGCCTCTCTGTCTGGGGGGGCTGGCACGCAGAGCTCCTGTGTGTGAACGTGGTGGCCAGCTGAACTGGGGATGACTACAAGGAAGTTGTGAGGCTGCAGATCTGGAAAACTGTTTTAGGGACAGGAGTTGGGAGCTGCCATACTGATCTGCCTTCACTGAGGTTTTGAGGATTTCTTGGGGTATACAGAACAGTGTCTGATGTAATCAGTGATTGACTGACATCTTGGAGAGAAATTAAAAGTAAAAAAAATCTATTCAAATATAAGCTTTCTGAGGCAAGAATAGTGCGAAGGTTTGGTTTTAATTCAGAATTCTTATTGTTTCTGGTCAGATTGACAGCATGTGCAATACATAGTCCGTTATGGTCTCAAGGGAAGATACTCTTTTTCTCCACCTCCCCTTGTCTCATGCAGGTTGTTGCAGCTCCAAAGGACAGTCATAAGCACAGATGCTGAACTTCCAGATGAGCTGCTTTATGGCAGAGCGGGTTACCTGTATGCCTTGCTGTACCTGAATACTGAAATTGGTCCGGACACTGTCCCACAGTCTGTTATCAAAGAGGTAGGATATTTTTATCTCTCCAGTGCCACAGAGTTGGTGAGATTGAACTGGAATCACTTCTTCTCATGAAATAAGGGATTAGGAGAGGAAGGCTGGAGAAGAGAGGGACCTGGAAACGGGAACTCAATCCCATCCCTCCTTTTCTTCCGTCTCTCCTTTACTGCTGCCCTGCTGGGACTAAGAGAATGAGTCCAAGCTGGGAGGATCCATAATTAGCTATGAAAATAGATATAACACAGAAATAGGCTTGAAGCATTCGAGGGTGAGAAATTGTCGTGTGAAACCTTATGGAAGAACTGCAGAAGTTTTTAAATGAAAAGAAGGGGAATACAGTGTGGAGAAGATTCATGACTGTTCTGTAGGTACCAAAACCAGAGGAGGCAGGCCTGGAAAAAAAGTGGTTGGAAATATTTAGTATTCAGTTTTTATCCTTGCATATTTAAGTGATCGATAAGTCTTTTAGAAAAAGTCCATTTCTGTCTCAACACTCAAGTCCCAAATGACTTCATTTGAGTCAAATGATATTCAAATAACTGGAACATCAGTATCATCTCATGGCTTATTGTGACTAATTTTTTAGTGTGGTTTTGGTTGTGACAAATCAAAATCCTGTGAATAAAAGCAAGTGAGACAGAAGGAAGGGGTGTCTTCTCTTTCTTAGGTAATAGACGCCATTATTGAGTCGGGGAAAAACTTTTCGAAGGAGGAACGTAAAACAGACCGCTGCCCTCTGTTGTACCAGTGGCATAGGAAGCAGTATGTCGGAGCGGCCCATGGTGTGGCTGGGATCTATTACATGCTAATGCAGGTAAGAGAATGTTCTGTGGGTTGGGGCAAAGCACTGCTAGCATCTTGTTTTGCATCACAAGAGCTCCTCTTCAGCTTTTGTGCCTGTGCAGTACAATGTTGTGCTAGCTCAGGGTCTCACCGTTCGGAGTTAGATGCAGAACTGCGCAGAGATGCTCTCTCAGGTCCTGATAGCAGAATAAAACTATGGCCCGCATAGCATGGCACTGGGATGAATTAAGCTTCAGCAGCAAGGCTTCTTCAATGTAGGTGCCCTGCATCTGGCTAAGGGACTTGATTCTGTGCAGCTTGTTCAGGTACGTCAGCAGAGCTTTTTGTTTACATGACTGGAACATACATCCGCGCTCCAGAGTGTTCACACCGTCTCCTTGAGAATGAGTTGCAGGCTGGAGCACCAGTTCTAGGAGCTGCGTTTCCCGTCCTTACTAGAAAAAGGCAGGTGCCTTCCATCATCTCCATACTTACTCTTCTGATGCCTGAAGTAAGACCAGCTAAAAATCCCCTTACTCGCCATCCATCACTCTTAACCTTCAATTTGTTATTATTTTTAAAAAACTGCATTGCTGATGCCTCCTCTTCTTCTGCCCTCCATGCCCTTCCTCTCTTATTTGTGGTTTTTTTTTTTTTTTTCCTTTTAACTGTCTTGAAGCTCTTGGGAAACTTTCTCCTTAATCACCCATTGATCTTCAGTATGTTTTTATTTTTTTGATAGTCTTCCTCCTCTTTCTCCCCCCTTCCCCAAAAGTCTGATTATTTTTTAAGGTGTTTATGACTCCTACTCTGCTCTTTCTGTTGTCCTTAATGAGATTTCTCTCTTCCGTACTCCTCCTCTTTCCTGCACTTAAATCCACTTTTCCTGCCTCCCCGTAAGAGATTCTCAGATAGGATTCTGATGTTTGAAAAACAGACCTGTGTTTCCTTTCTTTTTTTTTTTTTTTTCTCCTGTAAGACCTGGAAATAGAGCCTTCAGATTCATTAAAAAAGATGGCCATAGAGCTGCAAAATCGATATTGTGTATCTTACTCTAGTTTTGAAAGGTGCTGAGAGTTGGTGCATCTCTGTAAATGTTAATTTTCATACCAGGTCATGCAGAATGGCTTTCCTTCAGGGAAGTGGAAGGAATGTATGTCTCCATAGCCTAAAGCTGTGTATGAATGCTCAATGCAAAAGTGGCTGAGGTGGAATTAGGTGTTGCCGCTGCTCAGCCATTCCTCGCTAGCAAAAGACATTGCGACTGCTCCCCATCTGCTTCAGCTTAGCTCAAACCACTTCCACTGGTAGCTCAGGCTAACTAGGCTGACTTTGCTGTGGAGGTGGCTACTGCTCTGCTACCTGGGATCATGTATTAATCTGACTACAGCTGTTTTCTGCTGTGATAATCTAGCTGGGGCTCGAGACTGTTCTGACTTACGTGTCCTTACCTTCACTTCCTACTTTCTTCAGCAAAGCGGTCCTCCCCCTTCCAGCTACCTCCTCTTTCCTGCTTCCATTTTTCCTTCGCTGGCTCTGTTTGATTTTTCCGAGAAATAGCCGGTCCTCTAAAGAAGCCTTTTTAAAGGCTCCATCCTTTATTTCCTACTCAAGATTGCTAACAGAAATAATTGTGCAGTGCTTTTGGTTTAAGCAGAAACGACTCTGTCTACATATGTTAAAATCATAACTATCTTTTCCTTTAAATGTAATTGCTGCTTTTAAGAATTACCACAAAGTCATTGTTTGTGCAGCATTAGATGACTGTCTTTTCACTGTACGTTAAATATTGTGAGTCATGCCGAGTTGAGTCATCTGCTGCAGAGGAAGATGGCATATCGGAGTCCGTCCTTTCCCCCATCCCTCCTCCCCTGTATGAGGAGAATTTTTCTGTTTTTCAGCAAAGAATTCAGGAGACTGGTTGTTTGGGTGTTTTTTTGATAAATGAAAATGGGCATCCTGCATAGCACCTGAGTTGTGAAGGCCACTTTCTGACCATCGTTCCTGTATGACACCTTTATGAGGATGCATGTATTGCTGGATCAGCTTACAGGTGGAAGAATAAGAGCTCAGCAGTGTTAAATAACTCATCTGGCAGGCAGAGTGGGAAATCGGAAATGCTAGCTAAGGAATCTCCAGCAGCAGCCCCTTTCATGAAACCTGAGGTAAAACAGTCTGTTTGCATATCACTGCTCTTGGCCAGATAACTAGGGCACAGATCAGTAGGTTACTTTTTTTGGCGTTGGCAGCAGTTGCTGGGAACCTCAGCAGCTTAGGGGCAAAGAACTTGCTTGTGCTCAGATCTTTGCAGATGCAAAACGTGAGAAAGAAGGTGAGTTCTGCTCTTCTTGGGTCTGTCCCACAGGACAGGATGGATACGAACTCAGCTGTGCGCTAGGCTGTGCTTGCCTTGCACAACTCAAAACTGACAGGGGCATTTATTGCTGGTTCCCATCTGCCTTGCCTTCTGCTGCAGGGGTCCAGCGTAACATCAGAATTGCAAAGTGGAGATTCCTCTGAGAAACTGCTTACCCTGCAGGTTGGTGTCTGAGTGAGGGGTGATCAGATCCAGCATGTTCTTCATGAAAAGGTGATCTGTTTTCTGATGTGCTTCTAGAAGATCAACCATGTGAAGGTTTCTGTTCCACTCATGGAAGTGTAGAGGTGGGCTTTGTCCTAGGATGAATAGGAGTCCAGCAAAGCTCCCCTGGCTGGGGCGAGGTAAAGGCTTATGGTTATTTTGGGATGCTAAAAAATAAAGCTATTTAAAGTCATTCTTTATTTGGCTGTAGGAGTGTGAATTGTAGCAGGGTACTCACCTACTGAAGGCAAATATACGGGAGTTGGTGGAAAATAATAACGTTTTAGGACATTGAGTCTGTCACAAAGATAAGTCATTAAAAAACTAAGCTCATGTATTAACTGCTGTAGGCTCCAGTTTCTGCAGTTGTTCCCACAGCTTGCAGGAATTTCAGAAATCATGTAGGCTGGGATAAAAATAAATAGTTCTGTTACGAAAATACTGTAAGATGGGCTGATAGAGGAATGAATAAAAAGTAAGAACAACTTCAGAAGACGACCCTAGTAGACCAAGAGCAGACCCCAATAGATATTTAACTTCAACCCTTTACCTACAAGGAGTATGCCAATTAATGGATATATTCTTTTGGCGAGGATGTGAACGAGATAATAGTAATGAGAAAGAAAATTCAGAAGGACACTCTAAGGATGAGATGCACAAAGATATTTAGTACCTTAAGAAGTAGCTGTTGCTTCTGAAAATATCAAATGGCACTTTTAGTACCCAAGTAAGTATTTTTTTCAAAATCTAGCCCTGATTGTTTATGATCTGTCTGCTGTGGCCACAGTTGAGCGTTTAAGTTCATTTATTGGAATTACTATTTTAATAGTCCATAGCTTCAGGGAGTTTTGTTTATGATGGAAAACTTTAACCTCCATAAACCTTTTACCAGGTATGCTGCTGTACTCCGCCTCATTTATTGGGAAATATGACAGGTTTGTCTATGCTAGTTATTTTTGTGGAACCCAGTGTGTTTTAAGTATTTACTACAAGCAGCTAATCTATAAAACTATCTTCCTCCTGTAAGTGCTCTCTCTATTTTAAAGTGTAAAAAGAGGCCTGGGAGCCTTGGAATTTGTGTTCTGTTCTCAGTTCTTCCACAGTCTTTCTGTGTCACCTGAAGGAAGCCAAGTAACAACTTGGTGACCCAATTTCTTTGTCTCTCTGGTAGCTGCAACAACACTCTTCACATAGGTATTGTGAGCAGACATTAATTAAATCTGTATGAACTGATTCAAAGAATTTGGATCAAGGGCACATATGTAGGTACTTTAAAATGGACCACAGAATTAAGTGTTGATGCATGATTTGCTACTACTTGTTCTTTTTTTTTTTTTTTTTTAAATGCCATATAGCACCTGAATTGTGAAGGCCACTTTCTGACCATCGTTCCTGTATGACACCTTTATGAGGATACATGTATTGCTGGATCAGCTTACAGGTGGAAGAATAAGAGCTCAGCAGTGTTAAATAACTCATCTGGCAGGCAGAGTGGGAAATCGGAAATGCTAGCTAAGGAATCTCCAGCAGCAGCCCCTTTCATGAAACCTGAGGTAAAACAGTCTGTTTGCATATCACTGCTCTTGGCCAGATAACTAGGGCACAGATCAGTAGGTTACTTTTTTTGGCGTTGGCAGCAGTTGCTGGGAACCTCAGCAGCTTAGGGGCAAAGAACTTGCTTGTGCTCAGATCTTTGCAGATGCAAAACGTGAGAAAGAAGGTGAGTTCTGCTCTTCTTGGGTCTGTCCCACAAGGATGGATACGAACTCAGCTGTGTGCTAGGCTGTGCTTGCCTTGCACAACTCAAAACTGACAGGGGCATTTATTGCTGGTTCCCATCTGCCTTGCCTTCTGCTGCAGGGGTCCAGCGTAACATCAGAATTGCAAAGTGGAGATTCCTCTGAGAAACTGCTTACCCTGCAGGTTGGTGTCTGAGTGAGGGGTGATCAGATCCAGCATGTTCTTCATGAAAAAGTGATCTGTTTTCTGATGTGCTTCTAGAAGATCAACCATGTGAAGGTTTCTGTTCCACTCATGGAAGTGTAGAGGTGGGCTTTGTCCTAGGATGAATAGGAGTCCAGCAAAGCTCCCCTGGCTGGGGCGAGGTAAAGGCTTATGGTTATTTTGGGATGCTAAAAAATAAAGCTATTTAAAGTCATTCTTTATTTGGCTGTAGGAGTGTGAATTGTAGCAGGGTACTCACCTACTGAAGGCAAATATACGGGAGTTGGTGGAAAATAATAACGTTTTAGGACATTGAGTCTGTCACAAAGATAAGTCATTAAAAAACTAAGCTCATGTATTAACTGCTGTAGGCTCCAGTTTCTGCAGTTGTTCCCACAGCTTGCAGGAATTTCAGAAATCATGTAGGCTGGGATAAAAATAAATAGCTCTGTTACGAAAATACTGTAAGATGGGCTGATAGAGGAATGAATAAAAAGTAAGAACAACTTCAGAAGACGACCCTAGTAGACCAAGAGCAGACCCCAATAGATATTTAACTTCAACCCTTTACCTACAAGGAGTATGCCAATTAATGGATATATTCTTTTGGCGAGGATGTGAACGAGATAATAGTAATGAGAAAGAAAATTCAGAAGGACACTCTAAGGATGAGATGCACAAAGATATTTAGTACCTTAAGAAGTAGCTGTTGCTTCTGAAAATATCAAATGGCACTTTTAGTACCCAAGTAAGTATTTTTTTCAAAATCTAGCCCTGATTGTTTATGATCTGTCTGCTGTGGCCACAGTTGAGCGTTTAAGTTCATTTATTGGAATTACTATTTTAATAGTCCATAGCTTCAGGGAGTTTTGTTTATGATGGAAAACTTTAACCTCCATAAACCTTTTACCAGGTATGCTGCTGTACTCCGCCTCATTTATTGGGAAATATGACAGGTTTGTCTATGCTAGTTATTTTTGTGGAACCCAGTGTGTTTTAAGTATTTACTACAAGCAGCTAATCTATAAAACTATCTTCCTCCTGTAAGTGCTCTCTCTATTTTAAAGTGTAAAAAGAGGCCTGGGAGCCTTGGAATTTGTGTTCTGTTCTCAGTTCTTCCACAGTCTTTCTGTGTCACCTGAAGGAAGCCAAGTAACAACTTGGTGACCCAATTTCTTTGTCTCTCTGGTAGCTGCAACAACACTCTTCACATAGGTATTGTGAGCAGACATTAATTAAATCTGTATGAACTGATTCAAAGAATTTGGATCAAGGGCACATATGTAGGTACTTTAAAATGGACCACAGAATTAAGTGTTGATGCATGATTTGCTACTACTTGTTCTTTTTTTTTTTTTTTAATGTCATCTTTAGCCAGTCGCCAATGTGGATCAGGAGACCCTGACGGAGCTGGTGAAGCCAAGCATTGACTATGTGCGTCATAAAAAATTCAGATCTGGGAATTACCCATCATCACTGAGCAATGAAACCGACAGGCTGGTTCATTGGTGCCACGGTGCCCCCGGAGTCATCCACATGCTCATGCAAGCTTATAAGGTGAACCATTCTGTGCATATAGACCTGTATTCTTACATATAGACCTATATGTAGACCTGTTAGATTTTAAGGCTTGCATTTTAAATGTTTCTCGATTTAGACTTTCAAACTAGAGCTCTAGAGCAGGCATCTAGCAATCTTGAAAGACTTACATACGTATGTTTGTAAAGAAGTAATAAGTGGGTAAAACTGTTTCTCAGAGTGTTAGTAGTTGCTAGACTTTGGGCTTTCTTGGAAAAGGGACATGTATTTAAACATTCTGATACCAGGATCCTGGTTCGGAGAACACTGACCTGAATTCTTTGAATCTTCATTCCAAGTGTTTTAAGAATGTTGTTGTTTTGAACCGTAGGTTTGTGCATCTTCTAAAGAATCTCTTCCATAAATTACTCCATTATTAAGATCTAGCGCTTGAGAACTTTAATACCAGTGTCAGAACAAAGATCCCAGGGCCCTGCTAGGGAATAAATATAACCCCTGAGCTACCACTAGCTTACTGTTTGCTTCTCTCCATCCTTAACTAGGTTTTCTATCTCTCTTGCATTGCGCACTTGTGATTTGCATGACATTTGAAAATATGACATTTGAAACTTATGCAACTTGATTCCTGCTTCTGACAGCCCTCCTTGACAGATTCCCTGGTCAGCCTAAGGGTGGGCTGATGAAAATTATCTTTGCTGCTGCCTGAAATGTGAACCGTAAACATCTTACAGCACTGCTGAATGCAGTGGCAATAACAGTTGGAAGGTGACTTGACACCGCAGACTTTTTGTTTTGGTTTGGTTTTTTTGGTCGTCTTTGCCAATGTTTTGCTTTCCACAGCACAGCATATTTTTCAAGAGATAAGAGGGGAAGGACCAAGTTCTGTTTAGCAGTCTGCTTTCTGGCCTTTTTCTGTATTTAAGATGATGAGGCATATGCTGCCTTTCTTTTACTCTTTATTATGCTTCTTGAAGAAGTGATAAGAAAAATTGGAGTGTGTTTTGTTGGCTGTGCTTTCCTTCCCAGTAAAGGGACTTGGGACAACAGAGAGCAATGTTTGTCCTGGAAATCAAATGCTGTTGCTAGGCCTTCATCTGAAATGTTAAGATTGAGGAGCTGGGAATAAAAGGCAAGCCCTATTCAGAGAGGAAGTTTCTTTCCAAAAAGCTTGTGTATTTAAGAATCTTGCATGTTAATTGCTTCTATTACTTTATTAAAGAGCATTACTGTAGACGATGCTCCCTCTGAAGGACTATTTCTACAATAGTGCATCAGTTGCTATTCTTTTTTTGTCTTGTTGATCTGTAGAGTGACCCAGGCAAAGGGGAGCAGAAAGTAGTCTTAAAAAGATGGAAGTTCCTGGTGCTGTTCAGCTAATTACTCTTATTATTTTCTGCTCTTTAGATGGACTCTTTGTGCTTTTAGGATGCACTTCAGTTGCAGTAAATTTTGCAACACTGGGCCTTAGCCCAAACTGACTAGTGTCTCAAGTATCTCCAGTACAAATACTAATAAAGGTAATGGAGTGTTCCTACTTGTACTTTTGGCAGGGAAAAGAGCGCTCTGCTGTACAAAGAGGCATTTTCAGCATGGAATTGAAGGCAGCCAGTGAGTAACTGGCCGGAAAGATTAGGACCAAGCCATTCAGGACCGGATTGGATGTCCAGTATTCTGTGTTATGTTTTCTTGGAGATGAGAATTACATGTCTGTAGTTTAAATCAAATGATGTCATGGTTTGGGAATGGAGAGGGGAACACACAGCAAAAGGAGCATGCACCCTTCAAATAGGTTATAGGGTGTAGAACTGAAGGTCCTGAACTTTAGGGTTTTTACTTTTGGGTCTTGATTTCAGAAACCAAAAATTAGGAAGTTCTTTCCCTTTACTTGCAGAGAAAGGGGAAACAGCTAAGTAGGAGAGGAAAGGCATTTCTATGATGGATAGATTGTAAACATCCCAAATAAATTTTATATGAAAAAAAAACAGGAAAAACAGCAGAACATCACACAGGTCCACCTTTTGTTTGTTTGTTTTTATTCCACAGACCTTTAAAGAGGATAAATACTTGAAAGATGCTATGGAGTGTAGCGATGTCATCTGGCAGAGGGGTTTACTGAGAAAAGGATACGGGATTTGCCATGGTACTGCTGGCAATGGCTACTCCTTCTTATCTCTCTATAACCTAACTCAGGACAAAAAGTACCTCTACCGAGCTTGCAAGGTGAGCTATGCTGCATCCCAACAAAATTAATGCTCCCTTTCATGTTACAATGCCTGTGTAGATAGAATAAACTATGATCAGAATAGGCTGTTGTGTGCTAGTTCTGGAACAGACCATTGTGGGACAGGGTGGGACAGCAGTGTACCATCACGTGTTCCCCGTTACTCACATTTGGATTGTCATGCTTAAAGCAGGTATGTGGGCAAGTGTGGTTCCTAATATGTAGGACACTTGGAAAAAAATGTGGTTTGTTATGTTGTAAAGGGGAGGAACTGAACACACACTGAGAAGAAAAAAGTAGTGTCTGAAAATCGGTCTGCTTGAACAGTAACAGATAAATGTTATGTGGCCCTAATTATTCCATTGAGAGATCTGTTCTCGTCCTCGGCTCCTCCAGCGATACTGTTGTAGTCTTTTGTAAGTATTTGTTTGCAGGCTAGTGGCTGTTTTGGGCTTGCAAGAGCTCTGAATTGCAGTTACTAGATTGCTCGTTTAGATTTTTGTTAATTAATACAAACGGCAGAAAAAGATATGTTCTGAATTCTTCCACCGGAAGCTTCCAGATTCTGCTCTCAGCCCTGACTGTCTCACCATCAAAGGAGGAAGTTTTCTCTGCCTTCATTTCCGGGTCTCCCAAGAGCTTTTTTCAACCTAATGCACTGATACTGGGTTTCATATTGCATGCATACTGATTTAGCTGAGGGTTTCATATCACATACATAACTATTTAGCTGAGGGCTATTTAAAAATAGCACAATAGCACGTTTGAGTTGTTTCCCAGATGCCTTCGGATGGGTACTGGCCATGAGTACAGCTGTTTTACTCATCTCCGTTGCCAGCCTGTCCTCTTTAGTCAGCAGAGCTTTAAGAAGTTGCTGCTGTTTTCACCTTCTGTTTACCAAAAACATGAAGCCATGAGGACATCTGTGTACATCCATACACCTAAAAAACGTAATCAACCCCTAGCATTACTACAGGGAGTGTGTGACTTCGTTTTGTGCACCCAGTCCCTGCTGACATGGGAGCAGCAATACCAAGCATGCAGTGCTTTCAACCCAGCTGTCAGGCTCTCCCTGTCATCCTCCATTTTGATAATCTTTTGTGGCTCTGTGCAGTGTTTGTAATTCCTATTAGCGTTGCATTTCTTGCCCATGAGAGCCTGTGAAATCACAGCCTTGGCTGTGGGGTTTCCCTCCTTCCTTGGAGGCTGATGGTCTGCCACACTGTTGAGCACTTTCAGCCATCTTAGCTTTGACAGGACCAGTCTGGACTGGAGAGGACAGAAGAGCGAGTTAAGAAATTTGTGTTTGCTGCTGACTTATGTGTAGACCTCTTAGTTTAAATATGTGGGAGAAATAGCTCAGCATATATGAGTAACTGTTACAAGGCATCTTACGTTAAGTTCTGTTTTAGCCTAGATAAAGCTGAAAGATCAGAAAATAGCAGAGGTCTGAGAGAAAAATGCTTTGAGGCTTTCAGTGGGTGAAAGGCTAGATGAAACAGTTGAATGTCAGGTTGTCAATAAACATAATTTTACCTTAATGTAATCAATGTGTGTCAAATAATTAGATGATCCCATGTTATGTAAGAGACTTTTTTAAGGGTCCAGCGCTCCAGGTGGTTCCTTTATTCTCAAACTCCCATTCATACAGAGGTTCCCAACTGCAGATGCCCAACCGTTCTTGAAACATGGTTGACAAAGCTTAAGTGAGCAAAGTAAGGTTTCTGCCCTCATAGGTAATATTCTTATTAGTGCTTCTATGTAAAATATATGTAAAATACGATATGTAAAATCGGGTGGAAAGATTATTTTAACCTTTTTTATTTTACATTTGGTTTTTATTGTCATTCTATATCCACCTCTATCTGCAAGTCATCACTTGCATACACATCCTAGGAGGGGCGGTGCAGCACTGGAGCAGGTGGCTCAGAGAGGTCATGGAATCCATCCTTGCAGGTTTGCAAGGCCTGGTTAGAGAAAGCTGTGGCTCACCTGATCTGGGGTAGCTCTTTCCAATAGTCCCACTTCAAGAAGAATGTTGAACTAGATGACCTCAAGAGGTCCCTCTGAAATAGGTAGAAATTGCGGAAATGCTATCACTAATATGACGTGGCAGATTCATCTTCTCAAATACTTCCTTGAGGTATTGCATAAGCTGCAGTGCAGTTCTTGTTTTCCGTTATCAGGAGAGCTGAGTATCTTCACAGTCCTTGAATTCTTGCAATTTCCTAGCTAATGTTTAAGGGTCAGCCTTAGCAAGAAGCGCGGTGCAGGTAGATCTAGACCTGCAGTTCTGCCATACAAAGCTAGAGAAAAGAGAGCATCTCCATCTTAAAGCCAAAGAAGGCGGAGACTCAGTTACACACCTGAAATCACATTGATAAGATGCGGCAACCTGGCCAAAGACTGTTTGCAGGAGGTGCCTACTGTAGTCATGACTGGCAGTGTATTTGCAATGATTCTGCATGTTAGCCTCTCCAGCGTTTGAACAGGCCCTTTATGTTCTTGCAGGGAAAATTTTGAAATGGGCACAGGAATTTGTCTCTGGCATTCTTAAAAATCTTTTCCTTTTGCGCAAGAGCATAAAGGAAAGCGTGCAGTTATGTTGGTATCTACAGGCGTGTGCCTGAGGGAACTAGATGGCTCCCCTCCCAGGGGTGTTTGCTCACACCGAAAACATGAGGCCAAGGGAAGGAGTCTGGCCAGGAATCCCTGCTTACTTCTCAGGAGCTGATAAACTGGTACAAAAGTGAATCAGAAGGGCTTGAAAGACAGTTGCTCACAGAGATCTCTGGTTTGCACTTCTCACCTTTGGCTTTGCAGCTTTTGTCTCGTGTTAGCAGATGGGCTCACAAGAAGCTGTGCCGCTTCTAGCCAACACTGCCTGTGAGAACAGAGAGTTTCTTTTGGCAGCCTTGGCTCCAAGTAGCAGCCTCTGAGCCCTTGGCTGCTGAGTGCAGTGGTCAAACCACTGCTCTGTGGGGTTTTGGGGGGAGGGGATGGGTGTTGATTTTTTTTTTGTTTTGTTTTTTTTTTGTTTTCCAAAACAGAACTTAGGAGGTCCAAAAGGCTAATGGTGGCAAATGCTTTCTTGCTAGAAGAGGCCTTTTTTTTTCCTCTCTTTTTTTTCTGTTTTTGTTTAATAGAGGAATTAGTATGGCTTACTGGATCTGTGAGTTGAACTGAAGCTAAGAACTTTTAAGTGATGATTGTGCTTTCACTCAGTAGCCTTGGGCAAATTTTCTGACTGTCTGTTAACAGTTCCCAAGCTGGCAGTAATAATAAAGGCTAGTATGCAATAAGATGGGGATGTTGCAAGCATTAATTATAGTTCAGAAACATGCCATAAACATGTTCTGTCGTCACATATAAGAGAAGATTACACTGGGAATTACACCTTGATTGTAAGATGCATACTCGTGAGGGACCCAAAAATATTTTTTCATTTCTCAATAACAGTCTGGACTGTGATGTTTGTGTTTGTGGGTTTTTTGCAGTGTTTCCTCAAGATGTTCACACACACACACGCACACACACTCCAGCCAAAGAAATCCACCTCGCAATAAACACAGAAACAGGACAGATTTTGGGGGCGGGGGGTGGGGAAGGGGAGCAATACTATTCTTTATCCTGCTATTTGGCAGATAGACAGCTGGTTCTGGAAGCAGTGTTCACATGTCGTATAGCTCAAACTATAGAGCTGGAGCCCCCTCTAGTGAGCAGGACGAGCTGTCTGCCAGTCGTCTGCCTTAATTGCCTGGAAAGGGGGAGAGTCCTTTCATTTTTTTGCTTTGCATGAATCTTCTACCCTTACTTAGCACTGCATTTTTTGAATAAGCCGTGGTTTGGGTCCAAGCACAGAAGTGCCAGGGGAACATGTGGGCTCCCTCTATGCTCTGGGGAGCCATAACGAAGAATGAGATTGTTGCCATTAAATTGAACCAGATGCGGTTTGTAGCTGATGTATGGCTGGTGTAACTACTGCAGCAATGTTGATCAAACAGACCCTGTTGATTTTTTTTTTTTTTTAAAGGGTATTTCATCTTCTGCAACAAAATATTGAAAACCATAATTGTCTAACTGTATTTGTAATGATTTTTCATAAGGTTTGGGGAGAGAAAATAAATATAGCCAGGTAATGGAGCTGGAGATGTAATGCTCTAGATTGGTGCATGGAAGTGGAAGAAAACAGAAATGCAATTAAAAGCGATAGGAAAGAAGCTGATATTATAGTATTAGCAAATTTTTGCGCTTGAAACTGAAGATAGCTGTATGTTCTCACAACATTTTCCACTGATGTGTATGTAGCAGGGTCGATTCTTAAAAAAAAAAAAAAAAAAAAAAGTAGTTACCTACAGCCCACCTGTTTACATTGTTGTGGAACTGAAACTCCTGCTCTGGAAATACATTTTCAGTTATCCTAAAATCTAATTGCAGTCTTGTCATGGTGTGACAAAATTAATCTTAGACAATGATTGCTGTATTGTTTCTCTGCTTGCACTATTTTTACTCTTAATAGCTATTAAAATGTCTTCCCATGCAGATGTTCAAGCTTGCATTTGGCAGTCTTAATTAAAACAAACAAACAAAACCCCTTTTCTTTTACCTATTTCCCAGTTTGCTGAATGGTGTTTGGAGTATGGTGCACATGGATGTCGTATTCCTGACCGACCTTATTCTCTCTTTGAAGGTAAAGTGATGGTGTTGCAAATGGTATTGTATTATACGGGAAAGAAGGGCAACTTTGAAGTTATGGCACATGCTTGGGAGTCAGAAAGTCTTTAGTGGGTGCCAGTATTATTAAAAGAGAAAAGAGAGAAAACACCATCACCATCGTCCTTGCCCTTTCCCCTTCCCCACCAAAAAACCCAGAAAAGCACGCCACGTTTTCTTTCTGAATTGCATTTGAGCAGTTAGTTTCCAATGTAAAGTCAGTGCCACTGTCATTCTCCAATGTGCTAATGCCTCTTGGCTTAAAGTAAGCAAAACGTCTGGACAACAGTTCTGCATCGCAGGCATTGTTGCAGAGGGACTGGGCAACGGAGCAGCTGTGGGCAGGGTGTTACCTGTCAGAACTGACCCTTCTCTGCTGCAATACTAAAGCAAGTAAAAACTAATTTTAACATGAACCAGAATTACTCAAATGGAAAAGAAAGGCTAAGTTATTAAGGGCTTTTCTGTAAGTGTAAAGGTTTTCCTAAATACTTTTCTAGACCTTTTTATTTTTCAGATGCAGTCTATTTTTTATTCCCTATCTAGTAAATGCTTATGTTTTAGAAACACAATAGCAAGAAATTATAGCCCAAGCAGGATTTAAAGTAGCTCTGCTACTCTGTGAACAGTGAACCTAGTGTGCCACCTATCACAAATATATAAAATTACAGCAGACCAAACAGGTTTATTTTACAAATAAACCAAGCCCATGAGTTATCACTGAAGAGCAGTTACTCTATGCATCGCTTCTAAATACAGAGTTATTGTGTATATTTATGGGAGAGAAGTATAATTATTCTTATTCCTGAGAGAACCTTTGCATGCGTTTGTGGAAGCAAACAATGGACATGAAATCTGTAAGACAGAAGCTTTGAAATTTGTTGAGAATGCGGAGTAATGTCAGCAATAGCCAGGATGGTTTGTGCCTTAAGGGTGACTGCACAGGTTTTGAAAATTTTTAAAAGTCAGTGATTTTTTTTTTTTTGAAAGACTTTGATATCTTAAATTTGGATGATTTTTTGATTGGTTATGTAGCCAAAATTGTACTTGAAGTTGTCCAGTTCTGCACAGGTGGGCACACATGCACACTTTCAGTGAGAGCTGCATGTGCACCTTATGGGATGAAACTGGAAGTTTTATGTCTTGTCTTAACTCATTTCATTTGTATTGGATACCTGCATTTCAGGAAAGTCATTGGTTCAGACAACAGATTTTTAGCTTGCTTATAAAATGGAGTTTGTACTTGTTGTATACAGCAGTTGTATACAGTTGTATGCTGTCCTGCTGTAGGGTGGCTCTGTCTCCTGTCACCCTAAGAATTTTATGAGATAATGCTGGTGTTAATGCTTCAGACTCTCTGTGCTCCCTTTATGAATAATGAAAAAATAAATCAGTGCAAATAAAAAGTTTTGCCTTTGTTTCTTAAACAGTGGAATGTCTTTGAAAGAAGCTAAATAAGCAGGGTTTTAAGTGAGAGCTGCTCAAATGGTGATAGACAGTCCAAATTGGGATTTTTTTTTTTCCTAACGGAAGTTGCTTTGAGACTGTGCAGCTGAAAAGACGGTAGCAGAAAGAACTTTGTTCTTGCCTTTGATCTTTTCAACTGAAACTTGATTCCTGGGCAAAGTACAGAGGAATTTGGCTTTCCAGTGGCACAAGGTTCACCTATTCAGAAAGCTGTATAGCAAGGAGATGTTCCAGCAGGTGCCATTGCCTTTGCTGTCAACTCTGCTATTTTTATGTCCAAGATGCACAAAAATCTCTTTCTCATTATGTTTTAGGGATGGCTGGAGCTATTCACTTCCTCTCGGATATTTCAGTACCGGAGACCGCCCAGTTTCCAGCATTTGAACTTGGACCTCAAAGGAGGGAAAACAAAGTGGAACAGGATAGCTAAAGGGATCGTTTTTGAAAGGAAACTATGCCAAAAGCGATGAGACTGTTTAGTGCCTCCGATACAGAACCAACTCGATCCTAAGCCGACAGATGGATAAACCCCTTTTCCCACTCCCACCTGCCCCAAAGGACTATGAAGTCACTAGAGCATGGATGAGAAGAAGCCACATTTAAGTTCTGCTAAAGTGACACCTGCACATGTAGGACAAGAGAAGTCAAGCTTGAACTTTCTTTTCTTGCGTTTGTCGTCTTCGGGTCTTTCACATGTTCTGCATGTTTATTGCTGTTGTCTGTTGACAGAAGTCTTTTGTTGTAAGCAAAAAGCTGGTCTCTGTGCAAATCTCAGTCCTGTCCCTTTGTGCATGACTCACAACAGCAGTGTTGCTTTCTGCAGTATGATTATCTGCAGCGTTCCACTTTATGCCAGGTAGTCCAGTGTAAGACAGCGTCTGGCTTCACTGATGAGCTGGTTACTTTAAATGAGAAGAAGAACTTCATGTTCATGTTTCTGCATTTTTCTCCACAGCCCCTAGAAGCTGAGGCAGTGGACATCAGCCTTGTTTGAAGAAGTGGTATGAGGTCATCTCAGTTTTCAGGAATTTACTAGGTTGGAAGGGACCTGTTGTTGTGGGGTGGGTTGGGTTGGGTTGGGTTTGGCTTGGTTTTTTTTTTTTGAGCAGAGCAGGAACAGCAAGTTATGCTTCTCCTCTGTTTACTTGGATTTGTAATAAACCCATCCTGCGTCATATAGTATTATATAAAGAAGTAACGGGGAGGCAGGGCAGTTTCTCATGGCTGGTAACTTGGGATGACTGTCGCTCCCGAACCAAGGAAGTGATTTGTTCTGTTTCTCCCCCCACCCCACCCCAGCCACACTGCATTTAGCCCAGGTAGTGTGACAGGAGCAGTAAATACCAGCTGCTCGCGGAGGTTGCCGAATACTAAGGAGCAATATGTAAGCTGTTGCTAGAAATTGTGAGTAAAGTTCACTTCATCTTAAATTCAAAGCAGAAGAGAAAAATTCCTTTGCGCTTGTTCTGAACTGTGCTGTTAGTGCTTTGCTTTTTGTTGTAGTGTGGTGACGTACTAGCCCTTCCCTCTACTGGCAAGGTGTTAACTCAGTTCTGCCTCCATGCTCTTGATTTGGGAGGAGAAGCGGGACTTACGGCAAGAACACAGCATATTTACATTTTCCATATAATAAGTATACTTAGTCTTTGAAAAAGGTAAGTTAGCATTCTCTCGCTTGCTCAAGCTCTGTTGTCCTCTTCCCAGTCACCCCCCCCACCCCCAGCTCTCCCTGTGCTCTGTCATTCCAGGTGCTTATTTTAATTGATATCTTATATTGGGTGTGAGCGTGGCAGATGGCAGAGACTTTATCTGACCTTTCAGGCGTGCACTGGGATATATATGACCTGTGAGCCATCTGCTGAGCTCCAGTGTTTGTGGTCAGGCTTGGAAATGCATTGTGACTCCCGCACAAATCTCTGAACGGCAGCAAGTGGCTTCCTTGAACTTTACAGTATCTGTTGCCAAATCCAGCCAGATGTTAATAATCTCCTGATTGAGTTCTGCTAGGCAATAGAGGCAGAGCCAGTGCAGGGACAGCTTAATGTCACAGCGTAGCGCCTGTGTTGATGTGTCAGTAGGACTAAAGGGTGGGAGCAGCAGGAGGGAATTTTTCACCCCTCTGGCAAAGAGCAGGAGATGAGGCTCTGAACCCGGCTGCAACTATACAGCCAAGCAAGAGACAAGATGCTGAAAGGCAACAGGAAGGAGGAAAGCTGCCTGGAAAGCAGCTGTGGGGAAACAAACCTGAGCAGAGCGAGAGAGAAAGCAGAGGGATTGGTGAGGAACTGGGAGAGCTGATTCCAGGATGTAGTATGTAGAGCACACCAGTAGAGGCCACCTCAAATGAGATGTGTCTCCTTAGCAAGCTGCTAAGACCTAACTATATTTCTTTCTTTATCCTGTGGATCATTGATCCTGCCCGTAAAATGTTCCAGTGAGAAAACTGGCCCAGAGTCAAGTCTTACAGCAATCCTAACTATAAAGGTCGAGAATGGGGGAGGTAGACTGCAGCCTGCTCCTCTGTTTCATGTTCTTTGTTTCTTTCCTCTCCTTTACAACTGCACAGCAAATGAGATGGCTAAACAGGGAAGTGTGTTTCCCTTGTGCCAGAGGGGAGCCTTCTCAGCAGATCCCAAGCATGTGCTGTACTGATGGCATAACCAGGGGGTCGACAGGACTTTTTTTCTTCTTTTTTTTTTCATTCGGTGATTATAAGCTTTCTGGGCTGCTGAGCATGAGTGGCAGCTGTGGGAGGTAATTTTGGCTCGCTGGGGCCCAATGAGAAGTAAAATGTTGTTTAAAAAAAAATTGTATAGCTGTATGTGCACACTTAGAACAGCTTAATACTGAGCAGATCTCTGAGGCACTTGAGTGCAGCAGTCAAAATAATGAGCAAGTCAGCTTTTAGCTTTCTATATGGTAGCCAGCCTTCTGCTGTGGTTAGGCCTCACACTGACTTCTTCCAGAGACTCGTGTTGGAATTGAGCAAGACTGGAAACATAATGCATAAAGTTAAGATGCTCAGGACAGTGTGTCTGCCTTGTCTTCTTGACATTACTTTCCCCATGACTCCTGTTTTGTGTTTGTGACAGCCCTGTGATGGCCAGGTGGCCCATTAAGGAAAAAAAAAAAAAAAAGATGTTGTGTGAAGGGGTGAAAAAAAAATGCATTTCACCAACACATTTGAAAATTTTGTTTTCAGAAATCACATCAAACTAAAATGTGGAAAAATGTCTTAATCGTCCCTGGTTTGCCTTGTTCATGTGTAATAGTCCATCTGTTGCAAAAAGCAGTAAGTGTTAAAAATGGAGATGCTCATTGGGCAGAAAAAGAGGGAAAAAAAAAACACGCTGATGTTTTGTTCTTTGGCTTTATTAGTAAAGATCAAGCTATGTGGTGGCAATTTGTCCAAAAAAAAAAATGTTCGTGTCATGTTTCTTCCTTCCCTCCTACACTGTGGTGGTGGCTCTTCCACTGCTGTAACTGCCGAATTGTCTCTCAATTTCATAGCCTTGCAGAATGAAACAGAAATGTCAACGTATGAAAGCACTTGGGCACATCACCTTTTTTTTTTTTTTTTTTTTCCTTCACCTTTTACTAACATTGAAGGGCTCTTAATGTTGTTTCTCCTGAGTGATTTGCAGCGTTCGGTGCTTAATGCCTCAGTGCAAAGCTTTGCTTGCCTCTCTGGTCAAGCAGGTCGCGTTGAACAGTGTTTTCAGCTCAAGCCTTACTTTCAGCTAGCTGTTTTTTAAGAACACACATAGGAGGAGTCTGTCTGTCTGACTTGTGCAGTGCTTTCATCTGTTTTCCAGCTTCAAGGAAGTGTGAGGATTTTTTCTAGCCCTAAAGATTCAACTGAATAAAACTTGTTGAGTTTGCTGCAACCATTGGGCAGTATTTCTGATTCACAAAGCTCTGTGCCATTTCTGGCCCCCTCTGTGCTACTGAGAGCAAAGACTCTCAACAGAAGCGGTTCTTCTTTGAATTCATGGTTTACTTCTGACCTGTAGGCAGATCTCAGCCACCAAAGTACTTCTCTCTGTATAAGGTCAAAATAAGATAGAGAGGGCCACAGGGCTTGCAAAAGAGAGGTGGCCTATAGACTGGTTTAACCATTTCTCTCACCCCCTGAGATAGCAGAGCCAGGTACCACACATGATGTGTGAGACAGCTAGATAGCAAAAAAAAAAAAAAAAAAAAAAAAAAAAAAAAAACCCTCTACTGACAAGGTGTTTTATCCACTGGCTGACTGGGGTGCCAAAGGAGTGGCTTCTTGGGGATGCATATAGAACTAAGACATTTGGGGGTTTTTTTGGTTTTATTTTTGTATTTTTTTTTCTAAGTTGGGAACAAAAAGTAATATTTCCTTTGTGCGCTGCATATTTTGAGCAGCTTCTTAGAAAATATGGTCTTAGCTGTTTGTTTTCACAGCAGTGGAAGCTGTCATAGTGCTTGAAAGAATGAAGAAAAAAAACACACAAGGAAAAAAAAAATCTTGTCACTACATTAGCTTTTCCTGAAGTGATAATGAAACAGTGGAGCAGCTGTGAGGCGGTGGCTGGTGAGAGCCTGAAACACAAATACCGGGGTTGGTACCATCTTTGTCAAACCTGGTCCTGTTTGCAGCACAGCTGATAGTCAGCCTGCTAATTACTGGGAGGGAAGCCACTGCATTATATTGCAGGTGAATTTAGTCCTTCTTCTACAAGAGACTAGGCAATCCGTCACACTGGGGAGAAGGTGGAGGTGAGAATCATGCCTGCATGCACAGGTATACAATGATAACAAAATAATAATTCAAATAGCTTCAGTAGCCATTCAGCTGCTGTTTGGGCTGCTAGTCTGAGGAATAAATGACTGTGTAAGGCAGTAATGTAAGGTTACAAAGCACTTGGACCCTGCATTTTAACCTTCTTCCCCTTGGCAGTGATCTCTGTTCCTCCTTTCCCCCTTCCTCCCCCCCCCACCCCCACTCTCTAAGACTTATTGTCTCTAATTCTTATTTTAAAGGCTAATTTCCCCCCCCTCCCCCCCCCCTTTTACCTCTTGCTTGCACTGGTGTAAATCAGAAAAATAAGGTAAGTAGTGCTGGAAAGGTAGAGCTTATAATGCAGAGGCTGCCCAGGGCATTAAGGGGAGGGAGTGGGTGAATACAGCTTGAGCAGGTCCCAGTTGCTGTCACAGCTGGCTCTCACCCAGCCCTTAGCCACCCAGCCTTGCACAGCAAGCTCAAGGGCTGCACGCCTGCTAGAAGGCTGAAGCAAAACCTGCTGCCTTAGAGCACCATGAATTTAAAAAACTGACTAATATGGAGCCATCCCTAATGGATATTGAAGGCAACAATAGCCTTGGAGGCAGGAGGTGTCTCACTGGAGGAACGCTTTATTCTCGCCTAGCCAGAGCGGGGAAAGAGCATTGAGCAAAGGAAGAACAAATGTAGCCCTATGCAGCGCTTGTGAGAGGGGAGTTGTTGCAAAAAACATGCTTACGCATCTTAGTACACAGCTTTGAAGGGGCACGCCTGCGCCTTATAAGCCTGGTACGATGACTGGCTACAGCCAGGCCTCACCTTCAATGCAAGCGTGGTGCTGAAGGACGAGCTTTAGCCTGTTGCATCCTGTGCTGGAAGAAACGTTACAGGCCTGTTGAAGGACAAAAAGCAATCCTCAATGCTGATTATTTGGGGGCAGAGGGGAAGTAAGGTGGTGCTCTCGAGTCAGGCATCATCCTTCTCCTGCAGGGCAGGAAGGAGATGTGTGGAGCATAAAGCAAAAACGAAGGTATTCCTAAAGTCTCCTAAAAGCAGGACACTCAACATCCAGGAGGTCAGGTTCACAATTAATGGAGTTGCTCTACACCCTTTCATGTTCCTGGCCTAGAAAGTTAGAAGATGGTACTAAAGGTCAAACCACAGCAGCCCCCAGCAGTTGTTGTTAGGTCATGGCCACCAATCTATCAGCCACCAGGTCACCTCCCTACCACCACCAAGCTTAAACTAAGGTAGTACATCAGCTGTTTCAGCACCAGCAGCCTGAAGAGCCAGCTACTGCCATCATGCAAGACTGAACTGTAGGAGGCCAGGACAGGCATTAAGTGGTGGGGATTGATTTTCTGCCCAAATCAATTGAGTGAGCATTTATGCACCTCCTGGTCTGCAATGCATTTGACAGGCTGCTCATTACCAGCTCCCTGCCAGTATCTACATCTGTCACCTGCTGCCAGGTTTTTGAGGCTGCCTCCTGGCTTGCTGCTTCAGATTCATGACAAAGAGGATGGGGGGGGGGGGGGGGGGGGGGGGGTCCTCACCCACAGATCTGTCCCCTAAACCTAGAAACCAACGTCTGTTCTGCCCAAGAGGTACGTTTATAGAGCGTGGAGGAGTCTGGGTACAACTGCCCCAAACCTTTACCCTTAGTAGCAATCAATCAGGCATTTAATCTCAAACAAAACTCGAGATGTTTGGGCATCTGTAGCTAGCAATCACCTCACACTGGCCCAAACCAGTGCTTTGGTAACCACCTGAAAGAATCTCAAGAAATAAACTATTCCCTCCACCAGGAGGGCAGCGTTCACACTATATGTGTCCATTACACAGCATGTTTTCCAACCCAACAGCACTCATAGGGTAAATGGCTTTTTGGCACTGCTTCAAATTACTGCCCTAACTAACTGTGCCCCAGGACTCAACCCTGCTCTGCTGCAGCGCTTCAAGAAATGGCTCTGTTTCACAGTGAAGGGGCCTCTCACTGGTCAAGACTGCAGAAGTTAAAAAATAAAAATTAAAAAAAAAAAAAACACCCTAGTGTTTGTAGGCCAAGCAGGGCTCTGCATTGTCTCTAATGATGAGTGCCAAGAGCAGATCTTGAGCCAACGCTTTTCAATGTTTTACCATTAATTTGAACTGCCATATTCAAAGCTTTGCTGCTAGAAATTGCCAAACAACTCAAGCCTTGCTGAGGGAGCAGGACAGAGTCAGGGTTAGCGGGCTCCAAAGCCTATTCCCCCACCTCGTGCGAGTGCCCTGTGCTTTGCTCAAGCAGATGCAAGGAATAAAGAAATTGAGCAGTCTCTGAGAACTAAGCGACTGTGCTGGAAAGCAGCTCTTCATGGGATGTCACTGAGCCACACACCAGCACACAGCTAAAAGCTTTGGCTCATCTATACAAGTGAAAACTTCCTGCCTACTTACTTGCCCTACTTTGCACCATACATTGCATCAGCATTGGTGCTACATCCATGCATCAAGGAGGCATGGAAATATTCCACAGCTCTCCACGGAGGAGCTCATAAGTTGGGAGAAGCAAGTCTTGTGATAAAATGACTAGCTACCGCTGCTTAAGTTTCTATCAGAAAGGATAGATGGTATTTTGGTCACGTGCAGCTACTTGAATGTGAACAAATCTGATAATTGATAAGGGAAGCAAACGGGCCTTTTGGTCTCACCCATGTTGCTGCAACAAGACTCAGTAGCAGGAACCTGAAATGAGATAAACTAAAAAAAATGAGGGCAGTTGTGAGGCAGGGTTTGCTGAGTGAAGAGATGGACCTTGTTCAGAACTGCAGTGCTCCAAGAAATATTGCATTTAATTCTGCTTCAGAGAAAAAATTTGATGACTGCGTACCTAGAGGCGCGAGCTACACACAACGATCACAGGGTCCTTTATGAGTCTATAAATATCTCTGCTCCTCTCTATATATGAGTCTATAAATATCTCCTGCCCTCCATAATCCCTAAGGAGAAATGAAAACAGTGTGTCCAATCATTCACCAGCCTTGCTGTTCTTCATTTAGATAGTGCTGATTGATAGCAAAACCCTCAGCCCTTAAACCAACACCCTAGCCATGGAAAGGGCAAGTCCCCCCCTCCCACACACCCTACAACGTAGCCTAGGCTTTCCTCACAGGCCTTGGACATATGAAGTATTAGCCACGCTGTACCTACAGGCAAGGTATACTGAGACTCAGCAGTAACACCTTTTCTTTTAAAGCTACTTAGTTGGAAATGTTATAGTGGAAGACTCACCCCCTCCCCTTCCCACTCCCATGTCCTCCAGGGCTGGAGTAGCAGAGACTTTGAAGGTTTTTCTTACCTGCAGTGACCACCTTGGCATATTCCTTCCAGTCAATGCCTCTTCATGGATTCTTTAGACATGTTTTGAGAATACCCAACTGAACAGAGGACCTCAAGGAGTAACGTTTATGGTTCTGGCTCCAAATGGGGCTTTGTAACTGGGCCTTGGCACCTTTACTCTGCTCCGGTCCTGTTTTAAAGCATCTATGTCCTCTTGGTTTGAATGCTATCATCGCAAGAAACACAAGATTGAGACCTACAACACACCAAACCAACTTTCTGAAGTAGCTGGCGAGATCTCCAAAGCAGATGGAGAGAGGCAGCCCCACAGCTCAGGCTGCGAGCTGCAGCTCGACCTTGGCCTTGGAGCCCCTGGAAGGGGCACGGAGAGCATCTGACACCCTGGACCAGGGCTCCCAGAAGCCAGCACACCAAGCAGGGCGCCAAACTTACTTTGCAGTCAAACCACCACCACCCCTTCCCCTTCCTTCAGGGTGAGGCACCAGGATCTCTGTTGTGGTACAGGGCAAGAAACAGCAGCAGCACCAGGAAAAATCTCGCATGTAAATCCCTGTGGCCAAAGCACTTACCTGCAATGTGGAAGGTCACCTTAGCTGCAATAACCAACCACGCGCTTCGCTCATCAGGACTGTGGAGTAACGCTGTGTTTGAAGATCATGTTTTCCTCCACCAGCGTGATCAAGGCAGCCCACCTGACCTGTCAGCACTGCTCCAGCGGTGAGAAGCGACCCCACCATGTCCACTTGCGTGCCTGTGGTTTAGCCCTGGCTCTCCGTAGAAGTAGTTCGGTCTACTGTCCTCTTTTGTACACAACTGATCACACTTTTAGCTCTACTTGCTTGCATAAAGCTCTTTTAAAAAATACCTCTTAGGAAAGAGCAATAAAGATGATTAGGCACCTAGAGGTAGAGTAATGTCTAATGCTACTTTAATAAAACAACATTCCATAAGAAACTCTGTATGAGTCTGAAGAGTAACAGAAGCCTGAGACTGTAGAAAGACCAAGCTCTGCTCCATCCTCCAACCCACCAACCCAATTTTGCAAAAGACGCAATGTATACACCCAGATCAGCTTTATTTTGTTAACATGATCCTACCAAAGTTACAGGGCTTCCCCCTTCTTTCTCCTCGCCAAGCTTTCTTTTTTTTTTTTTTTTTAAACTCAGAAGAAAAAAAGGAAAAGAAGAAAAAAGGAAATCTAAAAAATTTCAAAAGCAAGGCAACCAGAGGAAGGGCATGTAAGCAATTTGCAAGTAATTCATAGGAATACCTACACCGATGCTGTGTGTTCAATAGGAGACGAAGCAACTTTGCTAGAAGAGAAGGGCATGCATGTTGAACGAGGTTTGTGTCATCCACTAGTGTTAACCAAAAAAAAAAAAAAACTGCAGAAGAACTTCACCAGAAGTTGAATTTCAATATATAGCATAAGAATTCACTGGAAAAGGTTTCTATCCAATCTCACCAGGAAAATACCAGCTCTCACAGACACATTTCACAATATGAAAGAACTTAACAGCATCATTCTTCTAACATCAGAGGTCTGTCATCATTTCTATTGACAGAAAAAGAAATGTTGGATTTGTTTTTAAAATATCACATAGTGCATACACAACCATACAAGGTGACATGGTGGCAGCTTTAAACTTTGAGTGCACACTAACTAACTTAGAAAATATACACAGTTGTGGTGCGCAGGCAGATGGACCTCTTGATCATATATAAAATGTCTCTTCCGTTATCTTAAAAGTCCACTGAGCCTGCACTGCGCACACACAAAAGTATATGCTTTGTGCCGTAGTATGATGCACAGGAAAGGAAAGCATTTCATTACTGAAACAGTTCTGAAAAGTGTTTCTACCTTGTCTCAGTGCTGGGTTCAGCGCGAGGGTAAACGGGGGAGATTCTCCAGCCTGTGATCTACAGGGGAAGAGACAAGGTGACCTAAAAAAGCAACACTGCAACAGGAGAGGAGGAGTGCACAACTCTCCTCATTCATTCTGTTCCTCTTGCATGCAAGGAAGTCTGCAAAAAACTCCGATATTGAAGAAAATCAAAGCAGTCCCTTGTCAGGTAGCTCTCCCCAAGCATTTACACGCATACCTGATATTTGGCATATGAGTAGATCCTCTCATGTTTCACTACTTAAAATTAAACAGCCGACTGATTGGAAAACAGCCCTGCCTATCAAAACACTTGAAATGATAGAAAGATTACATAAGATTTAAATCTAGCTAAGCAACTCAGCCAAGATCAGCTCTGGGAAACTAAGAAAAGAATTGTTTCCTTCCTAAGTCCAGTATTACTAAATAAGTCAAAAAAAGGCTTACCTGGGTCTGCTTGCATTTCTTCATTTTTAAGTATAATGAAAAAGAATTACAAAAAGAAGAACTAGAATTTGGACGGCTTATTTTTAATCCATAATACAGTATGGAGGAGTAAGCAAAAGATTGGGCAAACTTCTTATAAGTAGATACCATTCAGCATTTTTGAAACATATGCTGAACATAAGCAAATACAGGAGGGCAGGATCTGATTCAGTGTCGCATGGATTATAATGTAAGCGCAAGTGTGAACTGAGAGCTTGGGGCTAACCTCGCATCAGCTCTGATTTCACAGGAGTCCCTCTTGGTGGCAGAAGGAGCTCTGCAGTCCTGGAAAGATCTTTTTACATCACTTTAGAGTCACCCAAACTTACGCACCAGAACTTTTAGCAAGATGCTATTTTCTACCACCTTTTTCCCTTGTGACTGAGACAACATAGCAAATTAAAACCCAGACAATCACTGCTATCAAACGCTAACACCACTTCTAATAGGAACTGCCTGTTGATTTGATAAAAACAAAGTCCTTTCTTCAGGCCAAGCCTTGATCCAACTGGTATCAAGACACAGCTTCCCTGTTGCCTTTAACATGGCTGTGACCCAGGCTCTTACTATGTCCTGCAAGTCACGGTATCACAGAAACAGCTTTCTCCGACTCAGAGAATCCAACTGCACTTCCACAAGGCAGGTCACAGTGAAAGGGCAACGTAACATAACCTGAACCAGAGTTTCAGTGCCTCTAAACCAGGCAGGTCTCCCCGAACACCCGTCAGTAGAACAGACTGTAAAATACTTTCTTCCCTTTCCTGGCTGCCATACAATTACTTCAGTTACAATTTCACCCAAGTCAATATTGCTGTAATGAGCTCTTCAAAAGTTAGTTCTGCTCCAGTACGTTATTAACAGCACCAGTAGCTTTTAGAAACCTTAGGGGTTTTCCTGTTAAGACGACTCATGTGCATAATCAAAAGGATGCTCTTTTCTGTCAGTTTTGCAAATTTAGCTTGCTCTCTAGGAACAAATTCTCACAAGCCACTGGCAGCAGTAAGATGCATTAGTAGCACAACAAAACTCGCTCCCTGAGCAACACAGGTCTTTTAGATTACTTCAAATTTACCTCTGTGTCCTCCGTGCCCTAGCTGGAGTGACACAGGAGCAATCAGTGTATCAGCAGTGAGGAAGCAGTAATCCACCTGGTACCCAAAGGGCCACATCAGACTCCTAACTTTCAGCTGTGCTGTTTCTGCAAGTCTTTCAGCAGTAAAAGCAATGGGATCTTCTTTTTGCTGCTCATTAGTGATATGACTCTGAATACACATCAGGTGAGAAGATGCCACTGATATGCAGTCACTCCTGAGAACAGCTTCATGTCTTTGCCAGAGATAGATGCGCCTAACAACTCTCTCAGGAAAAGGGCTTTGTGTTTTCTTGAAGGAGTTGCCTTGGGTTCACTCAGAGAGCCAGCCACGAGCACGAATCGGGGGCCCTGGCAACACTCACAGCGAAGCATACAGAGATCTAAGTGCCAGCCGCAGCTGCAAAGCTAAACCACCTGTGCACTGGGTAAAGGAAGTGCTCTTAAAAAAGGTTATTTGACTATGGCACAGGAAGGAGAGCACGTTGCATACCTGTCACCTGGAGGTGACAGCTTAACTATGTACTCTTTGTGGCAGCAGTAAGAACACAACTAAACTATTACTTCCCAGTGACAAAATTCCCATCAATTTCAAGGGAACAAACTGGGGAGTGGGCTCCTGTTCCTTTTTATTATAATTATTTTCCAATTTAGGGAAGAAAATTTTACTAGGTATTTCAATATTTCTTAACATGTCTAGGGGCACAAGCACAAGTAGCTCTGAGGTTACAACGCTTCCCTCTCACTACTGACATTTAGGTCATCAGCTGTTTCCTACTATCTCACCTTTGGCTATAGCACAAAACAAAATCTGCAAGGCATCAAAAGGGGAAGAGAAGCCAGGCTGAAGATGACACAGGCAGAGTCCAGGGGCTGGCCAAGAAGCACTCAAGCCCTGGTCATTCTCTTCTTAGATACACCATTCACAGCAATGAAGCCCTCTCTTCTAGGGCACTTGGCAAAGCCATTGCCACGACTCAGCCAACGCCAGTGCCCCACTCCCTTAGCTGCTTCTACCACAGCGCATCTTTGTTGAGCATCAGAAGAGAGTTTTTACAAGAAAACTCCAAATGAAGAGGACAGTTGTCAACATCTCCAGTAAAAGCGTTGCCCAGCCTCTTCTACGTCTACCCTCTTTGTCTCTTAAATTAGGGCATTTCATCTAATGGAGGCTTAGAATAATGTCCATCGCTTTGGGCTTGCATAAAGAGCTGTTGTTATTGGTAGCCTGCCACAATGCAATAATACACATGGTCGAAACAATAAATAAAGAGAAAGACATACAGGTTTTAAATATAGGTTTCCATTAAAAGCATTACAAAGACAACTTTTCTCATTTTGAAGACAAAGAAAAAATCCACTTCTACTGCAAAAACAAAACAAAAATTTAAAAATCACCCCTTTGCAAGTAACTTTAATGAGGAAAGGTGCAGGAAGGGAGGGAGAGAGGATTTAGAGAACTAGCAAGTGTTCAAAAGGGCAGATGCCCTCCATCTCTGTCATTTTGCAATGGCACCGTCTTCTCGTACAGTCAGGTCCAAGAGCCACAGAGTCCTCATGTGGAGGATTTCACCACCTGCTCGTAGGGGGGAGGTGGCGTGTTGCAGTAGGAAGGTGGGGGTGGGTAAACTGGGTTCCCTTGGGGGGAATTGGGCTGGACGTGGAAAGCCATAGCCATGGGATTCATCACAGGTCCACCTGGATCTGTGTAATATGGCACCCCAGGTTGTTGTGACCCTGAAAGAAAAAAAAAAAAGGAGAAAACGTATCAACAGCAGCAGCATCAGACAGCAGCAGTCATGCCCTTCCACACGCAAGAGAGACAGTTTGCCTGTGCTCTGCCGCGCAGGGAAGCCACATGCAGCAGGTTTTACCTGGAGCACAGGACGTGCGGCCAAGGCAACACTCAAAGGTTGCCTCTGTTTTATGGCTGGCTGCTTACAGAAAATGTAAAATGCCTCACAGTGTTCGTCGGAGCAAGGACAAGGAGCAGTGTTTCTCCCACTCCAGAGAAAACCCAGACTCGCTGGACAGCACGCTACATTCACTTACTGAGTTTTCACCACAAGGAAGTCTCAATTTTGCACATAATAGAAAGAAACTTAGCGAGACCAAGAGCACTGCTGCCCCAACGAGCCATCATTTGTAAGGGAGAGCAGTGAGCCCTGCTCAGTTCTCTGGACAGAAAAGCTGTCGTGCCCACATACAGGAGAGGCTCAGGGTCCCCAGCGAACACAGGAGTTTCCCCGGCAGCCCCAACTGAGGCTGGAAGTCTTACAAGACACACAGAACCACATGGATTATTCTGTAATGTACTGGATTAGTCTGCGCTTCAGAGTATATCTCAAATAGACAGTTTCCCTTTGGGGCAGGATATGGTGAAGGACAAACATGCGTGACGCAAAAAAGCAAGTCCAGTTGAAGCCAATTAAGGCTTGCTAACACGATGGGACAAGATTGTTTAGCACAGATTAAATTTAGGAAACGGAATTGGAGCCTGGAGGGACAAGGGAACTTACAATTAAATGAAAAATTCCTAACCATGACACCTAAAGAGTTACAGGGATGGCTGCCATGAAGAATAACACAAGTAGCGTGTAACCTCCCTTGGGTATCACAACAGGCACTGGAAGACTATGTTACATGATTTCAGCTATTAAAGTCACTGAGTGCCTCTATCTGAATATGCAAACTAGTTTCCTTCCCCCTCCCCCCTCTCTCTCTCTCTTTAAATAAGGCGGGACTGAAACAAAAAAAAATCGTGACTGAGCGAGCAACAGATTTTCTCCTTTTGGTGCTGCTCTGTTTTTCCTATAATGAAACAGTCTCTAAGGGATTTTCCATTCAGTCATTCATTTCCATGACTTAGTGACTCCAGGATTCAGTATTACCATAGGAGGAATACAGGCATCCTGAAGCTTTAAGCATCCTTTAGTACTTCAAGCAGTCTGGAAAGATCCACACAACAAACCCAAAAATATGTTCTTAGAACATTAAGAAGAGATGGGTCAAGTCACAATTCACATGGATTGAAATATTCACAGAGTCTGGGGTGTCTGGCCCTAGAGTTTTACTTGGACACTCATGAGCACAGAGGAAAGAAAGCCGACCAGGGACATGGCTATTTCCTTCTTAATAACGCAAGAAATTTTTCCTTTTGCCTATCTGAGGAAACAGGGTTGCTCCATGGCATCGCTTCCTTTGCTGTGGTGACGAGAATTATTTGTTCTGCTTCAGTTGAGTATTAACACCCGGCTGGCTGCAGAAAGAGCGCCAGGCTGGGAGCAGGGTCCAAGTCTTTCTTCTCCAAAGTTTGCACTAACACTCACTTATGTAGCCAGGGTCTCTTTTCTTAAGCGTTTTTAGCATGAAGTTAAATCTTGTTCAGCTCTGCATTTCTGCAGTTTCCATCAACACAGGGAAACAAGAGATCTAAGGCAGCTCATTGAAGTTTACTGTTTAGGAAAATAGCTGTTTTTGTTAAAGCTTCCTCGTATTGGAGAATTTTGAGAGCAAGCATGGAAACTAATGTAGTCCCTCAGGATAGTTTTCCATTCATTCAATCCAAGAGAAAACAACATCTGGGTACCAACTTTTCTGCAGGATCAGCTCGTGAAGTACTTGTTATGTGTCTACAAAGGGATCCAACCCTTTCTACGGCCTAAAATGCTAGTTTTGGGCTACGTAGGCCAGGGCTGAAGTAAAAGACACCACTAGGTCTGCAAACTGCCAGTTTTAGGCGAGATGTTTGATCCACTTGCCTAGTCAGGCCCACAAAGAAAGCTCTCCCAGCCCTGGGGCTGACATGGGATGGCAGATGTTGCAGTTGCATCTGCAGGAAGGAGATGGCCAAGGAGCTACGCTTCAAGGGCTCCAGCTCTACAGGGTACTGGCTACTGCTCCAAAATCTGGAAGAAGAGCTAGAGAAAAATCAAAATTTGGTTGACTACTAATTCCCTTTGCTTTTGCAGTTGAACTTTCTTTCCCAGTGCAGCATGCTCTGCTGTCCTCCCAGCAGGCCAGACAGCACACCATCTTCCCACTCCCCTGGGGAGAGGTTCTGCATCCGCCCCACAGAAACGCAAAAATGGAGGCCATGAATTAAGGGGCACGCACAAGTCCTAGCGGTGGCTGCTGACGACAGAGACAACGAGAAGGTACAGGAACTCAGAAAAGGCAGGACAGAAAGACAGAGAGAAACTGGGAATTGCTGAAAGACTGACTGAAAGTTCAGTGAAACAAATAGAAAAAAAAGGACTGCAGTGAGCTTAGTTCAGACCCCGAGGTTTAAAAAAGAGTAATAGCAATCTGAAAGCAGGTGGCATAAGTAGGCCGTCAAAGGACCTAAGCTTATTTATATCTGCCCACAACTCGAGTTCCATGAGGTGTCATGAAAAACTAAAGCCATGTTCTAAAATTAAATCTGGTATTTGCTCATCTAGCTGCAAGGCGTTTCTTGTTTACATAACCTCGGGGTTACTTTTCAGGCTTAAAAACATGGGTTAGTTAGTTCGGTCATCCCCTTCCTCCCTGCCAACCCTCCACTCTCGGCAGAAACGTGTGTTCAGAAAAGCAGAAAAAAAGGATGCAGAATGGAAACTCGAGGCCTTAAAAAACAAAACAAAATTAAGTTTAAGAAAAAAATAGGGTGAGTAAAATGTTAGTTTGTGCCTGTAACATCTATTTATCCGTCCATTTAGATCTCGGAGACAGAGAGGGAAGAACGCGCGTCGATGAGCGCATTTTTAAGGATGCAAACGCCAGTGTTTTCAAAGTGTGTACACAGCAGCAGGTGAGCAATAGCAGGCTTGACAGGGTGGAGGGTGTTGCATCTCTGTGCAACACACTTCGAGTCAGAGCTCACTGGGATGCTTTTTATGATACCTTTTCTAAGCAGGTTGCCTTGATGCAGCCAAAACATTGCAGAGCTGTAATGATTCGGAAAATGATTTCTGACAGAGAAGTTTGAGGCAGCAAACTTTCAGCGATCCCCCTTTTCAATCCAAAATATTCAGTTGTATTTCCACTACCCAAAGCAGTGGAAAACAAAAACAAATTGCCAATTCCCGAAAAGCTGCCAGAAAATGTAATTATCCTCTGGCTTGAGCTCTTGTTATAATACAACGCGTGACTGAACGACAGACAGCGCAGGAAAAAGCATCCGTGTATCAAACGTGGATGCGTGCGTGCATGTGTGTGTTTTCACAGTCGCATGCTAGCCCTGGCTCCTGCAATCAGGAGAGCGCATAGAAGTGTCTCAGTCCGGGCTTACTGCGACAAGGAAAAGACAAGCACCTGAGCGTACACTCAAGCACGATCTCAGCACTGCAAGTCTTCCAACTAGAGACAGTCGGAATCAAAATGCTCTCGTAAAGCACAAATATCTTCTGCTTACAGGTGAGTCCAAGTTCACAAGATTCTCCAGGCTGGGACTATCTAACAGCCAGAGGGTAAGAAATAAGAAACTTCAAAACCAGTATTGCCAGGGGACTCCTCGATACGCAGTTCCTCACTGATGCTCACTGCCACCACTGACCAGAGAGCAATCAGACTGATAGCTCAGGGAGAAGGGCCACTTCACTGCAGAAAAGAATATGGCACAAAATACGGCAGGCAAATCCAACAGAGAAGACTTGCAATAAACTAGGCTGTGGAAGGAAAATGTTAGGCTTTCCTTCACCTCTACCAAATGGCATCCACTATACTTAAAATTCTTTCTTCAAATTACTCACAAGAAGAAAACAGCATTGTTCATTTTGGATATCTATTATTTTGTCAACACTGCAAAGTGAGCGTCCCCCATCCTCTTCCATTCACTGATATACAGCTGTAAAGATATTAGGAACGCAAGGGAAGGGAACAAAGAGTCCTCTTATTCCGGGTCTCAAAAATACTGCTGTATGCTGCTGCTGAATTACATTGTCTGGACAGCAGAACTTCATTCATCAGAGGAGGTGGCTGCACAGTTTAGTGCAGTACTCTTCCTTTCCCCAGTTCCCACAGTTTTCGGAAAAAAAAAAAAAAAAAAAAGCCCACCACCAAACCCCTTTTTAATGTCTTGGCATATATAAGAAATTAGAGAAACTTGTATAACGAGCAGTCTCTGACCTGATGCAGTGTTGACTGGTTGTCTGGTGTAAGACACGTTAAAAGTAGGTTCTTCTACTAGTGGAGGAGGGTACATCCGCCTTCGGATGAAGAAGCCAGCTCCACAACAGAACAAAACTCCCATCATCAAAAGGAACCTAGGTAAAGAGAAGAGGGAAGTCAAACCCCACCTGCGTTCAGGCAGCTCTCAACTCAAGATTGCTCATCACGAGAAACTCAGACTATTATCTATCAATCATCAGCCTCCCTATGATTTTTAGCGGGATTTCTTAAATGGGTTGCTGCTGGACAGCAGGCCTACGTCATTTGAGATAGCCACATCTTAGGGCAATTACGGACATTCCTCCAGCAATTGGTGTTATTGTCCAATGTTGTTTTAATATGGAAAATACAATCATGAAAATGAAATGCCCTTGACTTTTTGGAAAGTTCAGGTTCAGCCACGGGACTGAACTGAAATTCCAGGTCCATACAGTTTAAAACTGTGCCGTCTTGGACACAAGTCTAGCTCCTCCAGCATCCTGGTGGGCCAGCAGGTTTGCCTGGGACCAGGTGTGCAAAGAGGAATGCTATTCTGCAGTTCTTCTTAAAGAAAGATTTTTAGCTGTTCTTAAACGAGTAACACTAATTCCGTCTCCCATGGGAAATATTATAGCTGACACTGAAGCTCAAGCCAGTAGACTGAAATGTTCAGCACTGAAGATCACAGGTTTTGCTTTGTGCTTTCTAGACAGGATATACATTCTCAAGAAAAAGGATATTATTTTGTTTCAGCTCCTTTTCCAACTTAACTAAACTTCCTTCATTATGCCCTTGCACTTCTTCAGCGGAGATATGCATTTGCAGCCAGAACGTGTGAGGAGATTTTGTTCTTAGAAATATTTTTCACTGTGTTTTCTTGATCAGTTATCAGACATGCTAGTGACTGATGCAAGCTCTTGCAAACCGTTGCAACTGGGATGCTGGCATTTTCTTGCCTGGTGCTAATGGATCTTCTGTCTATAATTGTCACCTCCTTTTCTTTTCTTTTCTTTCAAGACCCTTTCCTGGAGGACAAGGAACAACTGGGATCCTTTGGAAGCACTGGAGGCAGAGTGTTTTTCTTTCCCTCTACCTAAGCTGGCCAGAGGCAAGCCTGCACGCAACGCTTTTTCCTCTGGAGCATTCCCAGAGGACTGAGATGGACAAAATGACACTGCATGGCAGCGATAGGTTTTTTACGTAAATGGTCAAAATTCTGTTCTTGTTTCAATAGTGGAAATGAGAGCAGAAAGAGGTCCTGTTTCTCTAAGCCAAAATTAATACATTCCTTTTTGGCAGGGATCCTGGAAAGGATTTGCTCTGAACAGAAAAACAGAGATTTACAACGTCACCCTAGGGATTCAGATGCAGAACTCCTAGTTATATCAGTAAGGATTGTACATTGAAATCCCACAGGCAGCTTTGAGAAATCTCTGTATTATAGTACGGATCAGGCTTCTGTTTTTCAGTGTTTATTCATTCCAATTTTGAAGGTTTTATTTTTTAAACACTCTTTAAATTCTACATAAAAATGCCTAAAATCAGGTTTTCTAGAAGAGCTTTTGCTTTCTCTGTGCAGTAATGAGGAGGTTTTATTCAGGTGCTTTTTAAAATTCTCCTCTAAAAAGAATTTACCTTATTTTTTCATTATACATATAAAAGTGATTAATTTAAGCTTTATCCAGATTACTGAGCTGCTGGTTTCACGAGCTCAAATCTTTCTGCCTTCTTTTCCTTTGCCGTCATCTCCAGTGAAATCCTCATAGTGACAGAAGTACCTTGCCTTTTTAACTGAAGCCTTATTCATCTGGCAAGACTGTCTTAAACTCTGCATAAATGTACAATCCTCCTTACGCATCCTCTTTTAAAATGGAGGGCCTGCAAAAATGGACAGTGCTGCCACTCGGTAGTGGTTGGGACAGGTATGAGGAACTGAGCAAGTTTAGACAAAAGTTAGAACCACTGCCTGTACAAACCAACAGAATGGGGAAACAGGACAGGTCAACCCGAGCCAAGTAACCTCATTTTCCAGTGCTTTCTAGCACTTTTTTGTTATTGGCATAGGGGGGTTGGGCATCAGGAGGTTTTTATAAGCTAAAACTCCAAATCCTGCATTTTATCTGAACACATGCATTACCACTTACTTGCACCTACCCTACTTTGAAATACTGGGGCAGAAAATACCTTGCTTCAAATCATATAAACAAGACAAGAATAGGACACCATGAACATAACATTCCAAAGCGTCATGACGTACCAAAAATACCATAGTCGCTGGATAGAGAGAGCTCTTACGCAGCATCTTGAACCACAGCAATCCTCATAGGAGCGACATCTGCACAGGAATAAAGGAAAAAAGGACATCAGGGGAGTGTTTGCCACTCAAAGTAAAATCGCATCACATCAGAATCTGGGCCCACGTAGGGATATACTCAACAGTAACGTTTTTTTAACAAATTCAGTTGTTTCAAACTGACACCACAGAAACGAAACACGGGCGTAGAAGAACCCTCAAGCCTGATGCCACCAGCTCCGCTGCCAGAGGCTTTATGTACAACATCCTTATGAGGTTGGGAGGCAAGACCTGACATCATTGCTGCCTGGGTGGGATTCCTGCTAAGGATGGACACCGCTGCTAATTCGGGACTCTGAAGACGCTAACGTCAGAGACTGTAACCCATAGCCTGATCTACTTTGACATGCACTAATTGTACCCTGTCGATTTTTCTGGAGTTACTTCTGATTTAGGAAGTTGTAGGAAGAAGAAATAATCAAATTCAACCATCACTGTGCCCTTAAACTTGCACCATAGCCCTCCCGCTCAATGTCCTTATATACCCAATTTCTGGGACTACTACCCAGTCTCAGATCCTATAGTCATCACCAGGAATAAAAGTCAAACCAAACTGAGTAAGAACAGACCACTTGGCCAGATAAAAATGTCAACTCACAGGTACTTATCATGGTACAGCTCTATCACTATTTAGAAACTTTTTTACATGTTATTGAAACTGCCTCCCTACATACCTCCCTCAAAATGACCTCAAAAGGATTAAATATGGCGTTTAATTCTATATATCAGAATATGTTATAAAGGAAAATAATATTACTGTGTTTTATTTCACAGTAAATGAACATTGCAGACATCGATCGTGAACCATTTGGGGCTTTACTCACTGCAAAAGACAAGAATTACAAGGTCAAAACTACCAGATAATTCATTCTTTGCAAACTGACAGCTTCCAGGGCAAACAGAGACAACTTAGTGCGTACTATTATTTGCCAATAATTGCATTTTTACTTCTCAGACTAACTTCAAAAGCGAAGGAAAATCCATGGAGTTCCTTTCTACTCTTTCACAAAACTAAGAAGAAAAATAAATAAAACAAACAGGAAAAAAAATAATTTTCTAGCATTTATACCTGCTAGAGTTCATTCCATTATAATGGACACAGATATACTTTGCATTTACTTGTTCCCAAATATATGTTCATACGTCTATGGACATATTAATATTATTACATATGAATACACATAAAACAATAGCAAGATATACTCTTGGATTCTCCATCACAGTTTTGCTGGTAGTAAACTGCAACTGCCAAAAATCCTATTATTTAACTAAACTTTCCTCCACCAATACATTTCAAATTCATATTTTACACAGAAAAGAATGGTTTTTAAAATATTGTAGCACTAGCCTTTGAAAGTACAAGGTACAGTTTCACTAAAACTAAAGCCACCACATATGTTAACAGCAACATCTGAACAACTTCTGTGGTAACTGCCATTTCCTACACCAACGAAACATGCTACATGTTCAGTAGGAAAAGGACAGAGGTAACACAGAAACTACAGCATGTCACAGACTTTCCTCTTAGATGGAAACATTCAGATTCAGATTCACATAGCGAAAAAAAAGAGAGGGTTATCACAACTGGATCAATCTTTAAGGGTTTACTTCAGTACGCTCAACGCCCACCTTTAATTAGGCATCTGGTTTTGGAAAACTTGCCCAACCTCTTAATTGTGCTCCTATATTTGTATATAAAGTTAAAAAAATCAATTGATTAACTGTACAGATAATTACACATTTACATGCTCAGTTAACAAGCCTACACTCTCAAAATATGTCAAGTCACACAGGCTTCGGCCTCCAACTGGGCTCAGAGGAAGATGCTCAATGGATAACACAATTGGCTGTTTGGCAACTGAAAACAGTGTGCATCCTTCTGTTGACAAGAAGGCAGGATTTCTTTAATTAAGCCAGAGCATCTGAGGCACTGATCAGCATGGCAAGGTCGGCTGATATATTCAGGCACTGGTTGGAGACTGAAATGCAACAAAGCGCTAATGCCAAAAGGGAAAACACCCACTCGGCTGCCCCGTAACCGAGGAGTCTCCCAATCTCCAATCTTTCTTCTTTAAAGCTTGCCAGGACCCTAACAACCAACTGCTCGTGTGGGAGCTCTGATCTGGGGAAAGCAGGGAAGGAGTTCCTGACTTCACTAGGAGACTGCCCTCTTGTAGCCCTCCTCGAGGCAACTAAGGTCAGAAAATAAAAGTCAGCGTTTCCTTATTTGTACCTCCACATGCTGGCCTGTTCAGCAACACCCAGCCAGCTACACCTCATCATGTGCTGGGATGCACTGGGCAGGTGCCTGCGCTCTGCTGTACTGTCCAACTCGAAAGCCCCAAAGTCTTTTCCCGGATCAAGCCCCAAGATCTTAACTTTTATTAGACTCCAACTAAATTAGAGCCTATGGAGAACAGGTGTAGTCCCCCGCCCTTCTCTTGCCTTGCTTATTTTGCATGTTTTGTCTAGAGCAAGAATGGACGGAAAAAGGCTATTTTAAAATACATAATTACGGTCATTCAAATCATCAAAATTAAAATAGTATCTCTATGATGAGTGCAATACCTGAATTTACTTTTCATTTTTAATCTTTAAATTGCCTAGGCTTTACGTCAGCAGCATTTTTACAGCCTCAGTGGGTTAGCTGTTCTGTCTACAGAGGAGGACTGAAGCATGAACCTCAAGACAGAAAGTCTCAACTGAGGAACGCTTTTGAAGCTCTTGAGACCACTGCATGGGAAACAAACAGGTCATCAAATAGAAGTTTCCTATACAGACGACTGCACTTTAACATGGCTGTAAATGAAGACGCAAAAGACTGAGGACTCTCTCACTAGGGCTCTGTTTAGGGAAGCTTCATTTTACAGTAGCCACTGAGCATTGAGGGGCAACTCCTCCAAGGCTAACGACCACATTTTCTGGCTGAACCTCAGAAGCTCAACCGGTATCATGACTCGGAAGGAAATCCCTGTGAGATCAGATACTAGAAAAACTTTCACTTTCTACTCATAGTATTAAACGGGGGCTTGACTTTGCATGTGTGCCCATGTGCATGTACATATGTATGTGTATATAGGAGCCCTGGGTCAAGGATGATACCATGATAACAATGTGCTAACTGTTCGTATTTTCCACCAGTAGTGCCAAAAAAGCCTGGAAGAACAAATGGTCGGTTTGCTGAGACTTCTGTTAGGGTACTGTGGAAGCTTTGCTAGTCTTTTGTTCTTGTTCTTGTTCTTTGTACTACAAAAAAACAACACTGAACTTCTGCCAACATCAATCCTAATTACAACGAAATTAACTTACTTACACAAGCTGTATTTATTAGTGGGCAAAAGACGACAATAAAATCAGCTTATTAATGGAGCAATATACAAGCTTAAGCATAATCTATCTTTGATGTACTCTCTCTTCCTTCCTGACAATAAACCCCAGCAGAATTAAGACCCTGGTTGAGGAAAAAAGCAATTAAGCACACACACATATATTTACTGAATTGATATAAATATTCATATACATAAATATACATGTAAAAGTTACACTTTTGCGCTGGCTCTGCTTAATAAGGAAGCACTCACTGTTCTACCTGCTGTTGTGCCCAATACTGGAGTACCTTCCCTGTGACAATCCCAGCACCTACCCTACATTAGGTCCCCTGAAATATTCGGCTACCCTAGATTCAGGGTGAAAACCTGACTTTGGGGCAGCTTTATCTGAGGAAGAGTTGCTTGAAATTAAAACAAAAACAACTTTTTCAAAAAAGTTTGTCAGGTTTTGTTTTTGTCTTTCTTCAGTCGGACATAGCAGTTATTAAAACCAATCTGTCCTGGACTGAGCTCACCTCGGAGAAAAGACTATTCTAAAGCAATTTCCCCTCTTTCACACGTGAATGCTGATCCCGAGATCTGCACTTCCCTAGGGCGATGGCTATGGCTGCTTGCTTCACAGAACAAAATTTCACCCGTGATGTAGCATAAGGCATGATCCATTAGTTGCTTTGCTAATCTGCAGCTTCATCATTATCACTTTTTAAAACTGCCCACAAGGTGATCTATGATTTAGCAGGTACATCTTTTCATTCATAATTCAGGAGAGTGAAATGAGTGCACCTATATGTCCAGCTATGTGTACTGCTAGCACACCAAAGAACTGCTGCGTCAGAGACCGGAGTTGCACCGCGTGTCACACCCCTGCTACAAGCCAAACCCAATAAAGCTTTTTGTACAGGTCCTCGCTTAAACACTGAAGCTGAACTTCTTTCCGTAAGGGACAAGCAAAGCACAAAGTTTCAGATGAAGGGTATGAGGTATGACCCCATTAAAAACAAAAACAAAACAACCCCCCCCACACACATACTTACATGTGGTTCTGTGGATAACAACTGCTCAGTGAAATAGGCCAGAAGCACTTTTCCATTTATACTTGCACCTACACAGCTGAACAAGTCCCTTCTTAGCAGACTTGCCGCAGGAAAGAACTGCATCTAAAAATAAATTCCCTGATTGGTACTTGCTGGAAACTGGAGAAGTTAAAGAGATAAAGCACGGATTATAGTCTTTGGTAGACTGTGCGGCAATAGTGGTCTGACAATGTTCCCTGTCCTCACCCAACGCGGGTATTTCCCATCAATACCATCCACTGGAAATGCAGACTGCAGTATTCTTAGTTTTCCACTGTGGACCGTTTACATCACATGCACCAAAATTTGATTCAACATTTAAGATGTTTGAGCAACAATGTCTTTTGGAGGAGTAAAACAAAAAATAAATTACTAATCCATACAAAGTGGCAGAGACACTACTGTAGACACAGGGACAGAGGGAGGAGGGAGGGAAAAAACTCTACAGCAACCAAAACTCCTTTTGAAACAGTAAATTGCACGATTTCTAAGCAGTGGCTTGCACACAAGGCCAATTTTAATTCCAAAAAAGACTGCATGCCAGTGATAGGTGAAGTGACTGCTGCGCGTGTGTGTAAGA